GGTTTTCGATCTGGAAGATCCTTTGTAACAACTTTACTCGGTTTCTATGATCGAGCCACAGATTTTACAGGAAAGGGATGGTTGGGTTGACTGCATCTATCTGGATCTTAAAAAGACTTTCGACAGAGTTCCACATAAGAGGTTGTTCTGGAAACTGGAACACATTGGAAGGGTGACAGGCAAGCTGCTAACATGGATGAAAAATTTTCCGACTGATAGAAAAATGAGAGCAGTAATAAGAGGAAGTGTATAGGACTGGAAAAATGTTACAAGCGGAGTACCTCAGGGTTCAGTTCTTGCACTGGTAATGTTCATTGTCTACATAAACGATCTACCAGATGGAATACAGAATTATATAAACATGTTTGCTGATGATACTAAGATAATAGGGAAGATAAGAAACTTAGATGATTGTCATGCCCTTCATAAGACCTGGACAGAATAAGTATATGGAGCACCACTTGGCAAATGGAATTTAATGTAAATAAATGCCTTGTTATGGAATGTGGAATAGGAGAACATAGACCCCACACAACCTATAAATTATGTGAGAACTCTTTAAAGAAAGTCTAATAAAGAAAGAGATCTAGGGGTAGTTCTAGATAGAAAACTATCACCTAAGGATCACATTAAGAACATTGTGTAAGGCGCCTATGCTACACTTTCTAACCTCAGAATTGCTTTTAAATACATAGATGGCAAAATACTAAAGAAACTGTTCACGACTTTTGTTATACCAAAGCTGGAATATGCAGCAGTCGTATGGTGCTCATATCTTAAGAAGCACAACAACAAACTGGAAAAGGTGCAAAGACATGAAACTAAAGTTAATTTGCTTATTGTGGTGTGGGGCACGCCTGACAGCTGAGTGGACAGTGCTCTGTATTCGTAGTCCTAAGGTTCCGGGTTCGATCCCCGGTGGAGGCCGAGACAAATGGGCAAAAAGTTTCTTTCACCCTGATGTCCCTGTTACCTAGCAGTAAATAGGTACCTGGGTGTTAGTCAGCTGCTACAGGCTGCTTCCTGGGGATGTGTAACAAAAAGGAGGCCTGGTCAAGGACTGGGCCACGGACACTAAGCTAAATCCTCTCAAGATAACCTCAAGATAAATGGCTCCCAGAACTAAAGGACAAGAGCTACGAAGAGAGGTTAGAGGCATTAACTATGCCAAAACTAGAATTAAGTTGAAAAAGAGGTGATATGATCACTATGTACAAAATAGTAACAGGAATTGATAAAATTGATAGGGAAGATTTCCTGAGACCTGGAACTTCAAGAACAAGGGGTCATAGATTTAAACTAGCTAAACACAGAAGCCGAAGAAATAAAAAAATTCACTTACGCAAAACAGAGGGGTAGACGGTTGGAACAAGTTAGGCGAGAAGGTGGTGGAGGCCAAGACCATCAGAAGTTTTAAAGCATTATATGACAGTGCTGGGAAGACGGGACACCACGAGTGTAGCTCTCATCCTGTAACTACACTTAGGTAATTACACTTGGGTAATTACCCTATCAGTCAGAATTTGCACCCGACCTCAGGGAAGACGAAGCCAAAAACAGATTTACCCAGGGTGATGACTACCACAAGCAAGGAAGCCCTCTAAGAAGTGAAGCCCAAACACTACAGGGAAGAAACTCCTGACAGTGCAAGGACAGCACTAGGGAGCGCACAGGGAAGAAAACCCTGTGCACATGCAACTCCAAGCCCCCTATACTCCTGGTTCATGTAGTACAAGCATGCATAGGAGCAGCCACAAGGGCCAAAAACCACCATTTAGCTAAAGCAGGAAACAGGAGCCAGAGCAGACAGCCAGGCACTAGCTACCATCAGCAAGAACTGAGGATGGAGCAGTTGGCTAACCCATCCCCCCCCCCTCCCCCGCCAAACAAGGGGCGAAAGAGCTTGCACTAATTTCGTGAATTTTTTCATTTGTTTACATTGTTGGGAGAATTCTTTTTATTGATTTTGAGATGAGATATCAATATTTATGGCACTATAATAGTTTGGCACAATATCAGAACTGTAGCTTCAGGGAGCCACAACAGGCTCCCTCTAGAAAAAATCAGAACATTTTCAAAAGTTGAAAATATTTTCTATACTTTTGTACTTAAAGCTTCAGAGCAAGAATTTGATATTCATAATAAACAGGAGAAAATTAAGTAATTAAAGTAATAAATAATTCTGCAGCTGACAATATTGCCTACAGTATTAGCTGACCCGAGTATCATTTGCCAACCATGAACTATGTTGTTTGTGGTTGGCAACGTAATTAAGAAAATGGTATGTAGACAAAATGAAGTCAGGGATATATTGCATCCATATTAATGATTAACAAAATGTACCCAAGTAACGGTTTGCAAGTTTCTCTGCCTTCTTGTGGTTTGCAAGTGACAGAGCCACGCCACGTGTCCCAAGAAAAGAGCAGGTTGCCCACTAGCCGGGATGACAGACCACGTCCAACAGCAACAACAAAAGTTTGAACGGAGCATCATACCCTCTGGCACAGAGTACTTACAGTCCCTCCTCTGGAAACTCCCAGAACCTCAACAAGACCCCCTACCCCTCAGGCAGAGGTGCAAGAATCAGTTTGGGAAGCTTTTATACCCATCAGAGGCCAAGACCTCAACAAAGGGAAGAAATCTAGTGTTGCCTCTAATCCCAAAAAACAAATTCTCGAGGCACAAGCAAATGAAAGAAATCAGTGGAGAGGGGTACTCCCTCCCCTTCCACAACCCCAGTGGTGCCAGCCCCACAACTGATTGTACACACGTAAGCTCAAATAATTCATTTCAAACCCCGAACCAAAGGAGGAGGACTAAGATGCCAAGCGAGTTAGTAGGGCTGAACAAGTTGAGCACCCACCCAACTTGGCAGAAGAGACCAAGGACTGCAAAGGATATTTGAAAAGCATCTAAAATAAATGGTCATACACCTCCTCATAAAATAGGGGATTGGAGTTTAATTGATCAACTGTAGTTAGTGGCAGAAAACGTTCATAGTCCTACAAAATAGCCACACGAGAAGCAGCTTAGCCAAAACTGTAGTTTAGCAGCCCTCAAGTGACATCCAAGGAAGAAAGGGCTCCTGAACCCAACAGGCACCAGTGTGTTGATAAGCAGCAGCACATACTAAAAACAAGCACCAAACCGTAGTATCAAGTATGAAATCAAATAAAGTAGCAACCACCCAACTGCCAAACACCTAAATTCCTTAGTAAATATGTTCATTTGTTGTACAGTATTACGATATTCTGTGCTAGAAACCTATATGGCCTGAAATTAAGATATATAATAACAACAACAAAATTACTATAGCACTTCAAAAGCTATTTCCAAAAAAATCTTGTTAGCAACATCTTTGTTTTGGAGTTCTGGTCGATGACCGGGCCGCGGGGACGCTAAGCCCCCGAAGCACCTCAAGGTAAGGTAACATTGTGACCCAAGATGGGAACAGAATTCAAACCGAGGCGACAATGCAAAACGTTAACCAGCTTTTAATAAAAATAGAAAGGTTTAAGCACATTTATGTACTGCACTGATAAATATTAATAGCAAGGTAATTTATAGGAACATAAAAACAGAGGAAACTGCTGAAGGCATATTGAGCCTATATGATGCAACTCCAACATATATCCAGCCACAACCACTTATCTGTTTAACCGACTCTTAAAACCTATTGAGCAACTTTGCATTTATTACACACTAACAATTTTGGTTCCTAGATAGTGTTATTTTGTATTGCTTATGCATCCAAAGCAAGGGAATGGCTACCATCCATCTAAAACTTTGCTTTGACCATTACCTTAGACAGCTCAGGGAAAATGTCTAAGACTGCCAACTACTTATCTAGAGCAAAGGAGTCTGCTTTACTTCACTCAAGAGAGTGAAGGTACCTTCAAGACATCCACCTTCAGCTGTCAAAAGCAAAGGTCAAAACAAAGTTTGAAGAATGGTCATTTTCTATGTTTTGGATGCATAAGCAATACAAAACACTTATTACCCCTGGGACAAAAACATGTTATGTAGTACCTGGTCACGTGTTCCATAAATCTGTAACTATCTCCACACCAAGTCTCTTCCGAATGTAAACTAATTTAATTAGAAAAATAGCTGATAACGCCGTGTTGTAAAACATCTCTGAGCACTTCATTACACAATTTTTATTGTTGAACTATTAATAATTTTCCTTCAATTGTTTGTGTTTCAAAATTTTAATAACAAATTGCTGATGGTAGCATATTCCCCAAATTCATCCATTATTGTATTAGCTTTCAAGAATTTGGTAGAATACAAATATCTGACTATGATTAGCTTCAATAAATCAACTATATACTGCAAAACTAGCAAGGCAAACCTTAAGATTAGTAGGGAAAGGCAAATGTACAACTGTTAATAACACAAGGAGAAATGCATCTTTCTTGTGCCAATTGCAGTGAGTATTTGTAGCAGATCTGCACTATCTATGCCAGCGTAAAACATTCTATAATTTTGTAATAATTAAAATACTGCATAGATTATTGATAGGCAAGTGGTATTAAAATACCATAGCTGTTAGGAACCCCAGTCAGTTGGAAACTAAATGTACTTTCAATGTACTATGAGCCTAAAAATTGGTAAACTAACCTTTGTACACACTAATGTTGGACGCACTGCAGCACATAACTTAAGGTGGCCAAGCTACAGATACTCGGACTATATTTTCAAACCCTGATCAGTAGTAGTCTTGATCCATTGACCAATTGCAAATGTATTGCCATTTGTTCTAATTATACATTTCAGTTTTCAGATCTGATGAATTGGGTTACTGTGCCACCATTGATATAAATTACAAGGCACTCACAAAACCATTAACCAATTTTTTAGGCATAGTTTGCAAATAGTGGCCAATGGTGAGACAGGGTTTGCAACAAGTCCCCAAGTGATGAGACAAAGGTACAGTGTGAGACACAGGCAACAAAACTAGGTTTGGGGCTATTGCTGCACGAAGCACATTATCGTACCAAAGTAGCCGAGAACTGAGGCACAAAATCAGGAGATAAAACAGGAGCCGACTGAGGGGTAGTCAGCTGCAAAAGAAATGGATGAAATGATAAAACATTCCGATAACAAAAATCTGACTCGTCACAGCAGTCAGTGGTGCAGCGTACTTTATGCTGCACCACTGACAATGAAAAGTGAAGAGACTGCTGACAAGTATCAAGAAAAATGCCAAAAGTAGAGAAGAGTTTTTATATATTTTTGCCCAAATATAGAGCCTTCTCATTATCCTTTATGATTAGCCTAGTCAAGAGACTCTTGATCCTTGGACTGGGGGCCTAACATCAATAGCATAATCTTCTCCCACTTAGGCAGTTTTCTATATACTTATAATAAATATATACATTTAAACAATTTAAATACTTCACCTACCTAATTTCAATATAACAAAACATGGTAGTAAAATTAATTCACCTATATTTGTAAATGTATGCAAATGCTTGGCAGGTAATTATGTAGACTGTGTACATTAGTTAACTAAAAAAAATAGTCTGAGAAGCTATTGTTTGGTCTTGTTTGCCACGTAGCCTCAAAATGACCCAAATCAATTTCATGCAGCAGTAAGTCTTCCTGATAAAATATTATATTTACTTAACACATGACTTTATTGATGTTCAAGCTTCATTCACTTCCCCTGGTCAAAGAGGACTTCGAAAAATGAATCCATATCTAAAATCTAATACACATTGAAAGGGTTACGAAGAATGTTACCCTAAAGTACCCTAGTACCAACTCCTCAATTCTTAAGCATACAATTTCCTTTTTTTTTATTTAAATAATTAATGCAGTATCTGGTTTTCTTAGCTCTCATAATCATGCAACCTATAAACAAATACATTTTTCAATGCATTATCAAATGACTAAGCAAAGATACTTCAAGACAGTGATAATAGTCATGCCATTACTAGGCTCTTGTCTCTATCACTTCAAAATAACTTTGAATCTGCATTATATCCCTAAAAGTTCTTTCCAGTTTTATCTAATTAAGTACCCTGCAGTATTTAAATACCCAAACAAACCATCTACCAAGCAAATTAACAATTGTATTCTCTTCAGCAGCATGCTATGGCAAATTACCGACAAGTATAACAAGATAGATTTACATTATATTAATCTTCCACTACGTTAAATTATCCCCCAGAGTACTAATGGAGTTCTCTCAATTTCCCATGGAGTATAGAATGTATTAATGTCAATGTCTCACCCTACAACCTATGTAGTATTGCCCTCTTCCACTTTCAAACATAGTCAAGTCCTGCAATCTTTTTCTATTATACTCTACTGAACAGTATTTCTTCAAAGGCTCTAAGAATGGAAAAAGTAATGGGTAAAAAAATTAATTATTTGTTTTATAAAGACACAAAAGATGCACCACATGGATGATTCTTACCAATATATGAGAATACAAGTCATTTTTTTTTTTTTTAATTCCGAGTGTGCCCTCTCCATAGTGCACTCGTGGACACACATTTTTTAGATAAGCTTCATTACCTACATAACCTTCCACACTAAGCGTTGGGTAACAAGTGAACACTTCTGAACATCGCTTTACAATAAACCTATCCACTCAAATAATACATCGTAGTTTGATACCAAAATCCCCAATAGATAAAATACTATGAATCATAGCAGCTCATAAACAACCATGTTTTTCATGCATGGTTGGGTAGGTTTGCACAAGTTTTGGGGCAGCTCAAGAGGATGAGCTGAAACAATACCCATACTCCTCTGATTAACAAGCAGCCAAGAGAAGTGCACCAAACCCTTAATAAACCATTGTGAAGATTTCATTATTTACACGTATGTACCCTACTCCTTCTATAATTAAGATAATGTGAAGAATAATGGTTCCTCAAAGAAAATATAACAGAAGAGGGTATGAAAGATATAAAGAAAAAAACCAGCGTTGAATGTAATGAAACGCTATTTTCTGGATGAGTCCCAAAGGCTCCATGGAGCTATCCAGGCCGATGTGATTATCCCTAACTTTGGCACCAGTCAATGGCGGTGGAGTTCTAGGCCAACTGGGGACCACGAGCCAGAACCTGGCCCCCCCTCAGAGAGGCACGAGGAGCAATGGCCTATAGAAATGCACATGTGATTTTGGAGCATTCTATATCCGCCATCAACCAGGACAGGTGCCCAGTGCCCCAAAACAAACCCCTATTCTGGTTAAAAATGATGAAAATAGACAAATGAGTAGACAGAACTCCCCAAATGAAAACGAGCAAACAAACATGACGTCACGCGAGCCGTGCCACATGTCTGTGCAGCTCCCCCTTCCCCGCGAGGGGGAAAGGGGGAGCCCCAGACCCCACACCGGCGATCCACCCTCAGTTCTGTGGCTGGATGTCAAAAAACGCGAAAACCGCTGACCAGAGGGAGGGAGGGTTGCCAGGGAGCCTCCGGGACTCGCCCAAAAAATGACGTCTCATTACATTCGATGCTGGTTTTCTGGGGAAGCCCCTTCGGCTCCCGGGAGCTACTTCAGAGAAAAATGAAATAAAGGGGACTTACCCGGGAGGCGATCGGTGTTCACATCTCAATTCGAAGTCGAGACAACCAGCTGCAACCATCGACCCAAAGCGACACAGGCCTGACTAGGCCCAGAAACATTAACAAGGTAGTGTGCAGCCAGGACCCTGTTCAACCGCCAAAAACCCCATGCCCGAATGTCAGCCCAGGACATGCTACCAAAGATGGCAGCAAGAGCAGCAAACATACCAACATCATGGTCACAGGGATAGACCGCAGGTTGGCTAGACTTAATAACCCTACGGATGACCTGAGAGACCCGTACCCGCGAACAGGGAAGAAGGGAAACCGGATCAATCCAAAGTGCGCCCCCAGACACAGAAGCTGTGGCGCGCAAAAAACGGTGGAGGGCCGCAACCAGACAACATATGATGCACCCCTGGCCTGACCAACCAAGCATCAACAACCCAACCACCCCTCTGGAAAGCAGCAGTCTCATTCTTCGCCAGGAAAAAAAAAAAAAAGACAGCTGCAGGCAAACAAACCTACCACCTCGACTAAAAGAGCAGAAACCCCTGCGCCGGAGAAGAGCATGAAGCTCCACAACCCGACCCCCCAGAGGCCAATGCCAACAGGAAAAAGAGCCTTAGAGGAATAATCCTGAACTGAAGGGACAACAACAAACCGAGGAGAAGACAGAAACAAGAGCACTCCATTCAAAAGACCAGAACGGTTCAGGTGGCGCATGAGCAAGCCGGAGGCAAACAACGCCTGAAACAGCTCACGCCACGGTGCAGAAGAAACATCAAAACCGAAAGCAAACTGGAGCGGTTCTGCCAGCGCTGCATGAGACAAGGCGACAATATGTGTCAAGCCAACAGCCCCAAACCTCCGTGAGAGAAGGACAGAACCACGTCAACAAAAAGTGCAGGATACCTACGAAGAGACAAAAAGAAAAGGAAGGACCGCCAAGCAAAACCCCATACTGCTGCCAAGACGAAGCACACAGGTGGGACACCATCAACGAAGCCACCTGATCACCGAAAAGATGGTAAGAGACTCTAGTCAAAAGTACCAGACTAGAAGACTCGAGGAGAAGACGGAACTAGCCTCTTAATGGATCGGACCAACAATTAGAAAAGAGGTAGAGCCGAGGGAAAATCCCTGGGTTTGAACACTGAACAAGCAGCCCCCAAAACCAAGGCTGCAAGGAACCAGAAGGAACGTCCGCCAGGGAACTAGGAATCCGGCAAAGGAACAAGGAAAAGGCGGTAGCCATGGCCGTAACCCGAGCACCCCCTGTCCCAACGAAAAAGAACTGTAGAGGTGGGAGTGGTTGATGGAACCTACAGCCACCAGCAGACATTGCAACACAGAAGCTGGTAGTGACATACAAAAAGATGAAAGAACTCTGTTCTATAACTGAACAGTGGGGCTGTCCAATCGCAGGGAATGAACACGCACACAGTGCAACCTAGCACACTAGTAAAGCCAATAAGCACATACTAAAAGACAACAATGTGTAGTATAGTGGAAGGAAATAAACATGCATAACAGAAACATGCAATGAAAAGACCCTAAATACAGCACAAGCACCGGTAGCTAGGGACAAGAGAGTATAATCAAGATGATGAACGAAGAAGATCGAGGAAGCAAGTGGTAATGGAATTTACACGATCGGTAATCATACATGCACACACACACTCCAATGTACTGTATATATAAGTGTGCAGCCAGGCACTGAATGACAGACAAGGAAGGAGTGTCCAGAAAGCAATGACTGAGTCAATGAGTGAGTGACCAGATAGCATTGACCGAGTCAAGGGAGGAACATCCAGAGAGCAAAGACTAAGGCAAGGAAGGAGCGTCCAAATAGGATTGAGAGAAACACATAGTAAAGTCACGTTAAGATGCACGCAAAGTGGCCAATCAACACACTACAAATAACACCCAACACTCATCCAAAAAACCGAGAACCAGCGCCTGGCTGACAGTGTCACCAGATCACCAGATCATATACCCCTCACCTGTAGAGCATAGACACTATCGTGTCACGACACAGCTGAGCCATGTAATAATCCGGGAGCATCGCTAGTGCATTATGTAAAGAGTTGCGTGAACAGTAGGAGATGATGAGGCATAGCGTAAGGTGGAGGCGGCACCACTCCTAGCCACCCCACACCCGTAAGCAGCGAAAATACTGTAACTAGGTGGTTTCCCCCATAGATAAAATCCAGAACTCCCATAGTATCCAGGGGGCTATGACTGGAGAGAAGATGAGCAAGAGAGGCATATAACCCGCGAGAAGGACGCAGAACACCAACACATGTTAACACTGCCCAGAAACAAAACAATCAAAACGGCGCATGCACCCGAGTATCAAGCTGCACCACCCATCTTTCGGAGAGGGCGCCTACAAAGTGTATTGAACGATTAATAGTAATGTCGAGACAGTATGGAGAGAAGATGTAATTATAAAATAATTAGACATAGGATCGAAAAATGATAAGAGTACGGAAGAGGACCAACAAGTCCAAGGGACTGGAGGGAAATCTCACAGGCAGACGACAAACATTCCAATAATATGGGAAGTATCGAATATCTTCCTGAACCTTCAAGACCCTTGAGAAGCAAGCACAAAAGCTCACATGGGCCCAGTGGCATCCGTGACCAATGGTCATGCAGGATCCCAATACGAGGCGAACATGATGCGACATGACATAGAAGAATACATGTCCTAGATAAAAAGGGAGAGAGCAGTAAAAGCATCCACAAGAAGGACAGAACCGACGGACCCGAAGAGAGGGGCCGACGCCCAAGCCAACTCGTACTCAGAGGGGGAAAAGGAAAACCCCCACTCCTCTTAACGGTAAGCCCCGCTCAGAGGGTTGGAAGACCCAGGCAGGGTCCAATGGGGCCCAAGGCCCCCAAGTCAGCTCCTCCCCAACCCCAGGAACTTGCAAGTCGGGCCCCGGTGGCGAATCATCCTACAAAGCCCCAGCCTCACAAGAAAAGGCCGGGGCGGCTGAAAGAGCAGGAAGAGAGCGGGCCCACTGGTCAGATCCCGGAGCTACGGCTGGAGGAACAGACTCGAATGCCTCTGTCGCCACCCCGGAAGAGGCAACCCCTGAAACCACAAAAGTCTCAGAGACCTCAAAACCCTGCCCTGACCCCGAAGCCCTCAGACACTTAGGAACCAGAATTGGTGGGTTGGGGGTGGGGTGGGGTGGGGGGGTTGGAAGGACTGAATGAACCACAGCAGAGAAAGAACAAGGAGGCACAGACTGACCCAAGGCCAAAGTGAACAACACCCGCAAGTCCGGGTCCCTTTAAGTAAAATGTGGCAACCTCAAGGCATCAGAGGAAGCAACCAACCTTGCACGTTGCAACAACCTAAACCTATCCTGCAACGCGAGAGACGCCTGCTACCAAATAATGTCATCAGGAGAAAGGGTGAATTGAGTCACAAACAAGCAACAACCCCCCCCCCTTCCAACATTTGTGTGAATGTTAATCTAAACTATTGTTTGATTTATCCCTATTTGTCTTCAAATTTGACTTAATTCAACGACAAAGATGACTACATGGTTCCTGGACACAACTTATCCAGAATTGAGTTTCTAGTTTCTAGCATGATCCAAAGTATTGTAGTTAATAGTAGTACTAATTAGAGCAAGCAGGGTGAATAACTTCTGCTATAAGACAATAAGAGCAAACTGATGTGGCTGATAGTGGTGGTAAGAAAAGGGAAGATTGCATGTGATTCCAACCATTTTGCACTTTGTGGCATGGCAAGTCGGGGTCTATTCCTGTGATAATATTGATAATGCATAATTTAGGTGTATCCATATTACACAATGTTAACTACAAATGCAGGTAATGTGAACAAATCACATACAAATGCAGGTAATGTGGTTGATGAAGACTTCATCAAACAAAAAATTCAAAAGAAAACATTCTGTGATGACTTAAGATGACAAAAGAAAACAAAATTTAAGAGGACACAACTTGAGACAAAAAACTAGCTGGTGCCATAGAGAAGTCAGTGAGCATAGTCGAAACAAAATTTTATGTTTAATGAAAAAAATTTCAGGATGACAAACTGCTTTTATGGACAACAGGTTTTTTGGTTGAACCCTGTCCAACATGTGGTAATCTGTATTTTTATTTCATGAAGCCTGTAAGCATAAAGTTAAAGAAAACAAATTTAGAGAACCCACTGCTAGTAGTAGAGCTGAAAATTGGTTACAATGTTTACACTAATGTGGTATGTAACATTTAGTGTATTTATCAGGAAGGAGCATTGTAAAAGGTGACAGTACATGAAAGTGGCATATAACCATTCCTACACTTCTAACTGCAATCCAGGCATTTGCCAAACCATTAATATAACCAGATTAAAGTTCACAAGTTAAGTAGTTTATTGCCTACCTGTTGAATTTCAGCAGAAACACGCTTATTAGACACTTTACGGAAGAGAGACGTCTTGCGTCGCTTGTCAGAGTCCTTCTTTGTCCTCCTGTGTTTGGCAGGTAAGCGTTTAGCCAGTTTTGATGCCCCAGGGTTCCTTTTTCGGCCACCTACAATAAGTAATTTAAAGTGAATGACTGTGACTAGTTAAATTGTCAATACTGTAAAAAGAGACGCAAATTTAATGTGGCCAGTCTCGCTACATACCAATGTGTGTACATTGAAAGTTTAAACTCATTAAAGTGAAAAATTGCTATATTTGTAGTTCACTTTTTCAAACTCATGCTTACAGCAAACCAACTTTTGAAAAATTGTAATGTGTAGACTATAATTAAATGTGGACACTCATTTGATATACTTTCACCACTACTGTACTATTAAATTTCCCTTGAAATAATAGCAATGTTATAAGGCATATATGATCAAATAACAAGTAAATACACTACATGCAATGTAGTAAGGATACATGTAATATATGTATCCAGACAACACAATGGACATGTCATGCAGATGATGAGTCAATAACGTGCATGAAGATATGATAACCAAACCACACATCAGAAGATGGAGAAACGACGACGTTTCAGTCCGTCCTGGACCATTATCAAGTCATTATCACATACAACTTGATAATGGTCCAAGAAATGAAAAAACGACCGAAATGTCGTCGTTTCTCCACCTTCTTATGTGTGGTTTATTCATCATGAATATGTCATGTTGCACTTGACCTCAACACGCATCATTGTACAACACAGACTACTGAACGAGTAGTTAAGTTGGGAATGGTGTACGAGCTGTTCCTTGGTATTACCAAGAGCGGTTCCTTGGTGCCTGTATTATTAAAGAACATTTCTTCCTGCTTCAGAGCTCTTCCTAATCTGCCTTCTGATGATGACACTTACTTGGTTTTATTACCAGGTGTTCAAGATGGCTGTGGTGTATAGTAATCAACTTACAATGCATAATACAATCTATGTATTACTGTATTTGAATTTAGTTTTACAATTTTTTTCAACTAAATTCCAATGTAGATCTGCATTGTTATATTCTAATCTGCTATTTTATTTGCTCAAAATTATCTAGAAATGAACTCCTTTGTACAGTACTTTTTACAAAGTTCTGATTTCAATTAATGCTAAAAATAGAAAATAAAATACTGTATACAAAGCATGATCAAGACTTGAACACTACGTCAAGTAAACAACACTATTGTGTACTGGTGAAATAACTGGTGACCTGATCAAGTTAATTGCTTTCCCTTTCTTCCAGTACTACAATAGTATCTTAAAGGTTCCTCTTTACTCTTGAGAATTCTCATACCAAGTGGGTAGATGCATAATACTCTACAGGCAATTCAACTCCTTCAAAGACTTAAGACGCCCAGAAAATTGGATTTATATAACCGTATACCTTGCGGTGATTCCGAGAGTCAAGGTCCCCACGGCCCTGTCTCTGACCAGGTCTCCTAGTTAATGTATACAGTATAAATATAATGTGTACACATTACTTCAGTTAATGCATATGTCAAACATTGTAATTTTGCAATAGGAAATAATACTGTGAAAAAATTAAGTTCTATACTTGGCAAGCATATGCAAAATGAAAAGGTAATTAACATAAGGAAGAAAACAAGTTATATAAATATTACATGCAAAATAAATATTAGCATAAAAGCTGCTTTTATCTGGAGGACAATGTTGAGCTGGAGAAAACACAGCATGAACACCTGGCAAGTAAGTATTTTTCATTGGTTTTGTACCACAGATGTTGTCATTTAAAGGTACCCTGTTATTTTTTTTGGCTACAGATGTTATTTACACCACTGCAGGTGTAACCAAATTATCATCAGAACAGAAAGAAGTAACTTCATACTTTCCATAATAATTTTTTCCCCAAGAGGTATCGTGTTTCATTAATTAATCCAAATATACAACGCTACAAAATTCCATTCAGATAACCTTGTCAAACTATCCAATAAAAAATTATGGCATGTTACAATGCCTTTGTATTAAGCATAGATTAGATTATAATTTAGTAACATGTACAGTAGTCTAAACATTTCCTCCAGGAATTTACTGATCAACTGGATTGTAATGCCTACATCAGAGTGACCTACCTGCACAGACAGCCTACTAATGAAGTGGCCAAACAAAAGACTGTGCCCCCCCAGAATCAACACTAGATAATACTGGTCGTACCTGCCCTAATAGAAGTCTGGTCAAGTGGCATTGATCGCAGAGATACATGATCTGTAGAGCTCATCAGCAGAGTGACAACCTGAGTGTGGAACATGCCCTGGATTGGCTCCCCGTTAATGTGAGTAATCAAGTCTCCGGGGCGCAGACCCGCTTCAAACGCTGGACTACGTTGGTCAACATCCTGTACGAGGAAAGAAAAATGTTCATATGCAGACGATGAGTTACAATAACATGGTTGAATATATGACAACCAAACCACACACTAGAAGATTATCACAGTCGACTTGATAATGGTCCAGGACAGACCGAATCATCGTCGTTTCTTCATCTTCTCGCGTGTGGTTTGGTCTTCAAATATGTTCGTGTAATTTATCACGTGTCTCATTAATATATCAGCATTAATAAGGATATACTGTATACATGTATGTGATGGAGAGATTGACGATAGATAAATCTAAATTGATCACATGCCTGTAGAGAGTTGCATGTTAATGTCTTAATATGACAAAAGCATCAAGATAATTATCTGTAGAATTACCAGGTAAACAAAATTACTATACAAGATAAAACTGGTAAATGGATAATGACTAAATGACTTTCGAGGTAAAAGGATTGAGAATTTCAGAGAAAGTTGGTAATGATTACAAAAAGCAAGTTAGGAGACCTTCATATAATTAAAATATGTTTCTCGCCCATGAATTTCTCCCTCTCTGAATTAACATGTCCCCATTATTACAAAATGTATTCTCTCCAAGTGCCTAACTATTTTTTCCCCCCAATTACTTTTTCCAAACTTTGCAGGAAATCTGTGTTAGTGCCACTGATATTTAATTCATTGCTTCTTGTTAGTCTCCTTGAATATTAGCACTACTGTCGCCTTTTTCCAGATTTCTTGGAACTCGACAGTCCCTATTACTGTACTGGTATATTGAAAGCTTTATTTAGTTGTTATGACTGAACCACACATCAAAAAGTGAAGAAAGAACAACATTTCGGTCTGTCTTGGACAAGTATCAAGTTGTGTGAAAGAAGAGGAAGGTAAAGGCATGGTAAAAAGGTAAAGGTAAAAAAGGTAAGAAGGTAAAAATATGGTAAGAGATTGAGGTAAGAAGCAAGTAAGAGAAAGGTAAGGTCTATGTAGTTCATAGCACAATCCCTGCCACCTCCTTCAGTAGCCACAGTGATACCTGGTCTTATCCTACTGCTATATAAACATTTTGTTCCTCCAGGTTTCTTTATCTATTTTTCAGTGACTAAGTTGTCAAGTGTATTTTATGTTCATTTCCTTTTTTTGGACTTCAGTTTAACTCTGTTTATAAGACCTTGTAAAACTTCTGTAGTTCCTCACACACACTTCCTTGTCACTCCCCACGAGTATGTCTTTGCATCTCCTTAGTCCTACTACGTCTCTCACATTTTCTCTATATTGTATGTGATAATGTTGGCCCTTTGTTGCAGATGTTGCTTCTGCTGCAGCTGGTTGATACCTGGTTGATTGGTTGGCACCAATCAATTAGCAACACCAGCGTCAATGGCGCCAATCACCGCCATCATTGGCAACACCAGCTGTTGCCACTGGTGGCGGTGAAGAAACAATGGCAGAATTAGGAAGGAAGGAAGGCAGGAGGAAGCAGGTGTTGGCAAGATAGTCTGCTCTCTTCCACTCAGCTTCATGACCACACCTTCGAGTGGTTGACAAATGGAATGCATTAGGAAGTGATGTGGTGGAGGCTGACTCCATACACAGTTTCAAGTGTAGATATGATAGAGCCCAGTAGGCTCAGGAACCTGTACACCAGTTGATTGACAGTTGAGAGGCAGGACCAAAGAGCCAGAGCTCAATCCCCGCAAGCACAAATAGGCGAGTACAAATAGGTGAGTACACCTAGCCCATAAATCTAACAAAAGCAACTTTGTATTTAAATTTTTGCTATGGTTTTCTTCTTGACTTTCAAAGGCATGCAATTATTCACAGAAATACAGCTTTTTTTTATCCTATCCAAAATGTTTGTTAAGTGCACTATGGCATACTTCCCCGAACACCCTCTCTCACTGGCAGGAGTGATGATGCAAGTGACATTGTGAATGGCAAGGTAATTTTGTATACATTTAAAGCTTTTGTATATTGCTGCCATACCTTCTCTGGGTTGATTGATGAGCCAATCGTATGAAAGTGGGAAAAGTTTTCGTAACCTTACAATAATGGAAAGCTAATCTTGAGCACTTATTATTTACACAGCAATATGATTGAATTAATATGCCAGTATGTATATGTACTCACCATTACTAAGTGATGCACAGTATAATAGTCAGAGTCCCCAAAGTAAACCCTAATGGCTCGGATGGTGAAGCCAAAGCCTTGCGGGCCTCGGCGGATAATTGTAGGAGGTTTAAGGGAGTTGACAAGAGGGGAAATTTCCCTGGAAGGAGAAGCATCACGAGATGAGGCAGTACTCGACCCTCCTGGAGACTGTATGGGCTGAGGCATGCTATCTTCTGAAAACACCAAAAGGCTGTTGAAGACTTTCATGAAAGCTGGAGAACACAATTAATACTAAACTAACTGTCTTGTGCAAAAACTGTCATGAAATAAAATAAAGGCAAATCAGATAAATATCACTGAAAATAACTTTAGAATCATCAAAATGTGTAACCAAGAACATTCAAGTCAGGCAAAAGACCCTAGCAACAATAATAGCAACTACAGTACACTATTCACCACAACAACAATTTTTTAAAATACCTGTAGGAATCATTAAGGACAGCCCTGATGCTGAAGCGCTCTTGATCACTTGTCGCGTTCTGTGTTTAAATGCTGGTGACGCAGGTGGGACATTGACTCGAGGCATATATAATCGCTCCGAGGCCCCAGGTTTCTCATCAACTGGAGACAGCTCTCTTAAGCCTCCGCTCTCCATGCTGGGAAAGAGTAAACTGCCATGTCTGTTATCTACTATACTTATTAATAAATACTTATTTAAATTGGGTACCTCCAAGAGGTAAGATGATTCTGCAGTCTACTGGAGAGCAAATTGTGCAATCATGCAGGGTGACATCCTAAGTACCAGTGCAACAGACGACTTTCCAAACATATCTGCAGTTTCATACCGGTGTTGTAGAGCACTGAAAATCAGCAAGTTAATGTCAGCTGCAAGAGATCCAAATTCACTCTTAAAGCATTTACAGCCTTCATTGGCAACCCCAAATACTGGCAAGAAGCATCCTAGCATCCTGTGTACCATACTGGTTTGCTCATTTAGCTGCACATACCCCTCCTTCTATCAAATGGCAACAACACAATGCACCTTACCAAGTCTCATTAAATTATATCTGATAAGAAAAACTACCATATAGAAAGGTGAGTAAAAGGTAAGAGATTGGAAGGGGGGGGGTTCAATCAAGTGAGTCTGCTCAATGGAATGTTTCATGTACAGTCAATACACAATCTGCACAAGGGTTGGGTTCATGGAAAACCTTGTGCAGAGTGACTTCACATGAAGTGAAGTTATTATTTAGGAAAAATAGTTAGATTGCAGAGATAAAAAATTCAAACCATGTAAAAATTTAAATACTGTACCTGTTTTTGTGTATACTAAATTACTGTATACTGTATATAACTTAGAGAAGGTGCTGGATGCTTGGGAGGAATAATTATATATGAATGTAATCATAAAGTATGGGAAAACAAAATGGTTATCAGGAGTTGCAAGGAAAAGATTATGGTGTCACTCCACCTGCACAACAGGAAAGAGAGGCAAGTGCCGAGGGGAAAGTGTGGAGAGTGAACATAATGGTGGAAAGATACACAATGCACAAAAACAACAACTGCACCAACCACAAAAACTCTTATCTAACTGAACCTGCCTTATAACACTTAAAAAATTTGCAATCATATTTCTAGCCAATTCATACACAGCCAAATATGCATTTGTACAATATGAATTTGGACATTAATACACACTTGTGTGCTGCAAACTTGCAGATCAAGCATCAACAGTATACTCATCATGCAAGTTACTCCCCACACTGTTAGTCAATAAAAATTAAGTATTATGGGTTCAATCAGAAAAAGGGTAATGAGGTAGAGAAAGAACAGGACAGTATCAAAAGACCGGGTGGGCTTCATTGGACTAAGAATGGGGGCAATATTGAAAAAGTAAAACATGTAAAGTAAAGCACTTAAGAGAACGACAAGAAATTTTTGAAAGTTACACAGTGCTTAACACACAACCAGCATACCTAGTCAAGTATACAAGAAAAGCACAAATTGGCAGAAAGCTGGAAGACTTCCTGCATAACTGGCAACTCATTTTCCGTGCGAGGAACAGATCAGGGTAACAGAACAGAGTTGGCACATAAGGCACAAAGAGCTGGGAACTAATACTGAACTGGCTACACAAAAGAGGCAAGAATCATGCGGGCTACAAAATTTACCAGTTTCCACATGATAGGAAAAAGCATCACAACTAAAGAGAGATTATTCCATAAGGTACTAGTCAAGATGCATGGCAAACAATGGGAATGTACTACAATTGGGTGTGTAAAAACTTCTCAAGGACTAAGTGAACCTCTTGCATACCGAATGGAGGGTATTACAGGACGGACAGACGAACGGACGGACCGACTGACCGCCCTCCCTCTTTCCCTCCCCACACCCATAACACCAACTGCGTATGGTTCTGTCCATATTTATATGTATAGTATGTCAAAAAACCAGCGCTGGATGTAATGAAACGCCATTTTCTGGTTGAGACCAGGAGGCTCCCCGGAGCTTATCCAGGTTGATATGGATATGGATATATTAGACTTTGGCATTAATCAGTGTGAATGGAGTTTTAAGGCCTACCAGGGACCATAAGGCAGAACCTGGCCCCCTCAGAGAATAATGAGGAGCAATGGCCTATAGAAATGCACGTGTGATTTGGAGCATTCTATGTCTACCAGTGACCGGGTCAGACACCCAGAAAGGTAAGCATCCCAAAGCACACCTCTATTCTGGTTGAAACTACAGTACTACTAAAAGGTACTGCTAAGTCTGTTAGCCCAAAAGCTAACAACGGGGAATGAGCTAAAAAACTGAATCCCTGCAACATGTACAAGCACATGGGCCTAGAGGAGAGTCACCAATATACCCTAGGTGGATTATCAACCAAACAAGACAGACCCCCTCCTGGCAAGAAAAATAAAAATAAATGAAAACCCCCGCAAAAGTACGTCACCTGAAGGAACAGGAAACAGACTGCCGCATTGGTAGACAAGCTGCACAGCACCTTGCGCCCCAACCAGCAACAACACTTCCTACCCAAGGCCAAACAAAGGGTGAGAAAACCCCAACTGGACCCAAGGGCAGGGTAAATGCAGAGCACCAAGACCCCCCTATGGAAGTGAAGTCCCCAAAGGTCCTATGAAAGGTAACCCTAGAGCCCAAAGGTAGTACTGACAGGGCACTCAGGGAAGGCAGCCCTAAGGGCATGCAGCCCAAGTACTCTAATTTCACCTGGCCACCACACCACAAACAGCAGGATACACCACTAAGACAAATACTGCCAAGAAATCAAGGCCAGAGTCAACGACCGCCCAAAGAGCGCATCAGCCTGCAAACTGGAGGTGTGAGTAGCAGGAACTGGGGGTTCTGGGCTCCCTCCTCCTCCTCCCCCTCCTGGGTAGGGGAGGGGATGGGAGGGGAGAGGAGGGCTGCGCGGACAAGCGATGTGGTGGCGGTGTATGATGTTTGCTTGTTTCTTTGGGTTGGGGGAGTTCTTCCTCTGTTTGGTCTTCGGTTGCATTATCTTACCAAGTGGGGTCTGTTTTGTTATGCCTTCCTTTCTGGGTGCCTAACCCTGGTCGATGGCAGACATGGAATGCTCCCAATCACATGCGGGTTACCATAGGCCATGGCTCCCTGTGCCTCTCTGAGAGGGGCCAGGTTCTGGCTCGTGGTCCCCAGTAGGCTGAACTCCAATTGACTGATGCCCCAGACTAATATTGCATATATCAGTCTGATAGCTCCAGGGAACCAGAGGGGCTCCCCACAGAAAAGCTACACAGTATTGATCTAAAAAATTGAACAAGGTTAGCTGTGGAGTATGATGCGACACCAAAAAAGAAATAAACAAATTTAAAGTTCATGAAGATAAGTTCTGATGGAAAAGAATCTGAAAAAATTCTCAGTCTTAAATTTTGAGGAGTTACATCAGGCAGTCTATAAGGAAGTGTGGTCAATGCAAGTAGAATTTTTTTTATATTTATGGTTTTACACTAAAATCTGTTGAAATATTATTTCTGTACCATGTAAGCATGCAACAACAAGTGATCTGTAATTTTTTTTTTGCAGGAAAACCACCCACAATTGACAACAGCATAAATTCAAATTATTAGAAAGTATATAATATTAAAAATCTGGAAAAGTTTCAGAACTATACAGTTATTTCAGAATGTGTGCTGAAATAAATGCAATGAGATTAGAGCCCTAGAGTTAGATCTCGTACCACAGAAAACATTATTACTGTTAGGTCGGCAGTACTGTACCACCTCGCAGTGATCTCGTCCACAGTCTTCTTTACATTTTTGTATTTCATTTCATTTCTTTCGACCTATTTACACCATATGCATTTATTCATTCATACTAACCTAAAGTTCAGAAATACTTTAAGATTGGGTCTGTTATCTGCAATCTAAGTTGGCTTTAAATAAGAATGAGTGAGTTTAACAGTGGGCAAAGAAAATGTAAGGATCTAAATGTAAGATGGTGCAAAGAAAATGTAAGGATGGTGCAAGGTGAGCGAGACAGTTAAGTGATGGTGCGTGCAAGGTGAGCGAGACAGTAAAGTGATGGTGCGTGCAAGGTGAGCGAGACGGTAAAGTGATGGTGCATGCAAGGTGAGCGAGACAGTACAGTGATGGTGCATGCAAGGCGAGACAGCAAAGTAATGGTGTGTGCAAGGCGAATGAGACATTAACGAATTTTGGTGTTTGACCAGTTCAGACAAACATAAAAAATGGAAAGAAATAAGAGCAGAATAATGCAAAAGGATTATGAAAGATAAATGTTGCTACTCTCCTTCCAGCCTCAACCTCTAGCAGTGAAACAGACAGATACAGAGAATCAGTTCTGACAATCTTCATGTATTAATGGAAAAACTTTCTGGATAAAAACACAAATTTCCAAAACAAGGACAATTAGAATAAAGACACTGAAATGTTTCAAGTTGATTTTTGTAGCAAACAAACTAAATTGACATTATAATAAACAGTGTACCACCATGGAATCCCAGACTTTGCATGCAATACCGAGTTTCAAAAGATACTGGATTTAATAATGTAATAATTTCACTATTACATTAATGAACGGATGAAAGATGTAATAATTTTAAATTAGTAAACAATAAACATTGATCATCAACACAAATATAATTTTTAAATCACAGTATAAATTTAAACGATGACTAACTACACATAGCACATACAAAACAAGACAACAAATTTATTTACATACTACACATGAAACAAGTGGCCAAAATACAGCATATCTGCAACATTGTGCATCATAGGGTATGACAATCAAGAAGTGATCAACTAATGTACCCACCTTTACAAATAATAATACATGTTTCAATGATGAACAACTTTGTGGACACACTTTGTGGACACAAAACACAGATGATCGGAGAAAGTCCCTGATAATTTTTAGTTGCAAAGAAAAGGAGATAACATCTAGGTCAGAAAAAGCTGTAGAACAAACTAAAGTAGTAGATAAAATTGTTGGCCTCGTACAAGGTCTTACTACCATATAGAATGTGTGCGACTACAGGAGAATAGGCAGGTACGTAAAAGGGAAAGATAGACTTTTGAGGATCACCCTAAACGGTGCCAAACAGATGGAAGAAGTACTAAGGAATGCCAGAAAATTACAGTGATGAAGATGGGAAAGTGTG